TGCTCACCCTCTGTCTTTCTCTCTCTGTGGAGCACTCGTTCACTAAGGCAAAAACCTCTTTAAAAAGCCTCTGATTACAACCCAACAGAAGTCTTCTCTTTAGATCAGGGAACAAGGTGTGGGGGTTCACATTCCGACACTTCTCAAGTGAAAACCTGCCTGGACACTCACCGGGGACTCCTGCTTCCCCTCTCTCCAGGCCGGGGCCGCCTGCTCGGACCTTGTGGGCACCCCCTTCGCCGAGCGGCCCCACGGTGAACTGGAAGGGGCTGCCGGTCACGTGCTGCCCGCGGTACTTGACGCTGACGGTGTGAACACCCATCTCCTGGGGCACGAAGCGGACGCAGTGTGAGCTCTTCCCCATGGGCACAATCTCGGCCTCGGTCACACGGCCAGAGGGGCTGGTGACGTGGGCCGACATGTCACTGCTGTTGATTTCTAAAAGGGGACAGGAGAGAAAGGCTGAACGTCCACATTGCACAGGAAGATACTCATGAGCTCCTCGAGAAACCAAGCAAAGAGGACAGAAAAGATGTTACAGGGACCAGCAGTTAGCGTAATGGCTATGTCGCTGGACTCCCACGTAGTCGACTGCGGTTCGCGTCCCAGACCCGGTGGCTTAAAACTCACGCCGGGTGCATGTGTGTGCGTGCCCAAGATCCCGAGAGGAGAATGGAGGAGAATGGAGGAGAAGGGATTGCGACGTGGCCATCCCCCCTGGGGGGTGATTTCTTGCTTACTGTCTCTCTATCTCTCTCTGTCTGGCGAGCGCACGCACCCTGTAGCAAAAACCTCTCCCCCCCACAAAAAAAAGAAAAGATGTTACACAAAATGAGAAATGGAAAGCAAATGAAAACACAGCCCGTATTTTCATTTTAAGAAATGAAAACGAACACGGGAGACTATTTTTCCATCAAATGATTTGAGACGTGAGGAGGAGACTGCCCGGTGCTGGGGGGAGTGTGGAGTATGGAGACACGGGCAGCCTGCCAGGACGTGGCAAGATCTGAAATGCACCATCCCAGCTACCTCACTCCTGGGCATCCATCCCATACCCAGCAGCCTGAGCACCTCAGAGTGGCACCAGTCACAGGGGTGAGGTGTGGACAGGAGGGGAGGTGGATTAGACACAAACTGAAATCTTATGGAGGCCATAGGAAGATGCTGCGGCACCCACGTCCTTTCGTTTCAATGGTCAGACAGTATGTGCACCTGCCAGAAAGAGGTGGGGGGCGGGAGAACGCCCCCGTGGGCCGTCACACTGGAATCCCCTTTCCCTCCATTTCTCCATGCTGTTAGAGAACACGCACATGGTGTACCTTTGAAGCCATGGCTGGGATTCGAACCATGTCCAGTCAAGTAGGATCTGGCTTCCTTAGCCACTAGGCTGCAGACATGGCGCCAGACATATATTCTTTGAGGTAGAAAGATGTCCACAAGACAGAGGGAAGCATAAAACGGCGTGACAGGAAACTGAGCACGTGTGACCGTAGGATGGGGGCAGCTCTGGGCCTCCGTGTGAACCATCGTCTCCCCAGAAAGTAGGACCGGAGGTGACACCGTCTCCCTCCATAGTGGAGCACATGAACTCTCATGAGCACAATCGATAGAGCTCTTTACAAAAGATCCTCTTCTGACCCTGCAGCTGCTGGGGTTTTAGCCAACTCCCACATGACCCATGCCGATGTGGGTCATCAACTCTAAGAAGGCAGAGTACAGAGATACGCAACATTTCGGGCAAGACGGGAGACGCAACCAAAACCTCCCCAGGAAACCACCATGCAAGCTGCACCTGAAGATGCCAATTTCCTTCTCTGCAGAAAGGAGAAGGATCCAAGCAACTCCCCAGCCCAGGCCTGCTCCTGAGCGGAGGAGCCTTGAAACCTCCATGTACACGGTGAGTTCTCTTTGGGAGGGTTCTGTCCAGAACCACCTGGGTGCCATTTCAGGCAGACTGTGTGGCTAACTTTGCCCCATGAAGAATGATCCACAGCTGAAGAGGCCCACCCAGCTTGGCGGCACGCCCTTCATCTTAATTTAAGGAATGAAAGAGAGGACTGGAAATATTAGAAGGAGCCTGGGGAACTGCCACTTCTTAAATGCTTCCAGAGAACGACAGGATCAGGACCAGCCCTCTCACTGACGTTATTGTATTTGACAGACAGTAAATCTAAAGGGCCAGCCAGAGATGGGGTGGTTAAGGCAGCTGGATCCCACATGGCTGACTGCAAGGTTCCAGTTCCGGACCTGGCGTCTTGAGATACACGCTGGGTGTGTGTGCATGCATGCCCAAAGTCTCCCTGCCAACATGTCCCCAGTGAGTACATGTACCCTCTGGCAAAACTTATTTAAAAAAAAAAAATGCCAGTAGTTGGCATAATGGCTATGTCACTGGACTCCCATTAATTGACCATGGTTCGAGTCCCAAACCCGGTGGCTTAAACTCACTCCGGGTGCATGTGCGTGCATGCCCAAGATCCCGAGAAGAGAATGGAGGAGAAGGGACTGCGGCATGGCCAACCCCCTGGGGGTGATTTCTCGCTTCCTGTCTCTCTCTCTCTTTCTGTCAAGGACATGCGCCCATATAGCAAAAACCTCTCTCTCTCTCTCAAAAAAAAAGGAAAACAAAAAGCCCTAACATATAGCTACATTTCCCCATGTGACACAATAATAAAGGCAGTGCTTCATTTGGAAGAAGAAAACAGGGGCGGGTAAAAGATTGATTTTTCTTGAATGGGCCTGTGTGAAATGAAGATGAAACGGGAAGGTTCTAACAGTGCACTTGGATGGTACGTTCCCAACCTAAACTTTGTGCCCAAAGGTGCCCAGTGCCCTGAGGGCTGGTGCCCAGGCTGCCCTGCTCCGCATCCCGGCTCTTACCTGGGATTTTCAGGTTCAGGTCACAGATGCTCCCAACGGTGGCCACGGACGGGGCACGGCTGGTCCGGGTGATGCTCTCCTTGACCCTGCCTTCCCCGCTGATCTTCACAGTAAACGGGCTCCCTGCAAGAACCCAGAAGGCCCTGGTGAGCAGCCCGCGGCCTTGATGCGGCATTGACGGAAAACCCAAGCATCGCCCGGGCAGGGTGAGGGGGACACTCACCAGGCACGTGCTCGTCGGCAAACTTGGTGGAGACGATGTAAACCCCGGGCACGGTGGGGAAGTAGGAGACCTTGCAGGTGCCGTCCTCCAGGTCCTCGGTCTGGATGTCCACCTTGCTGGGGCCTTCCACCGCCAAGGATATGCCACCGTAACCTGCAACACAGCAGCCCCAGCTGGTCTGACAGCAGCTACTCAGGAAGACAGAGCTTGAAGAATGAAGAAAGGACGGCCAACACTTGCAATTCAGTTATCTCCGGACAGCAAGGAGAAGTAACAACAGCCTGTGTTTCCAAAGACCTGGTTAAAGGCTCTGAGAAGGCCTGCAGTGGAAGAGCTTAGACTGACCATGACACTGATGAAAGTACCCTTTCCTACTAACACCCTACGGAGGGTGTGTCCTGTACAACCTGCTGGGAAGACAGCCCACGTGCCTCAAGGAATGTCACATGTTGCTTCGGGGCTTACTGCAGCCACAGACCTGAGAATCTGAAATCAAAATAGCTGTCCTGACTAGGTCAGCAGCGCTGGAGGTTTAAGAAAATGAGAAATTAGCAAGAGGGAGATCAGCAGTTAGCATAATGGCTATGTCGCTGGACTCCCATGTAGACCGCGGTTCGAGTCCCAGACCCGGTGGCTTAAAACTCATGCTGGGCGCATGTGTGTGCATGCCCAAGATCCCGAGAGGAGAATGGAGGAGAAGGGATTGCAGCGTAGCCATCCCCCCTGCGGGGGGTGATTTCTCGCTTTCTGTCTCTCTGTCTCTCTCTGTCTGTCTGGTGAGCGCACAAGCACTATACCAAAAACCTCTCCAAAAATAAATTAGCAGGTGGCATGGTTTGGTTAAAGGTGCTGGATTCTCACATGGCCAACCATGGTTCAAGAAATTAGCAGGAGGCATCTGCACACCAGGACCAGAAATTCCCCCATCCCTCTCTCCTGGTATGGTGGCTATGTCTAGAATTCACCAATGCCACTATCCCTCAAGAACGGAGAGGGACAGTAGGTGGCTTAGTGGTTAAGGCACTGGTCTACCATACAGCCAGCTGCAGTTTGAGTCCCGGACCTGGCGGCTTGAAACTCATGCCAGGCGCGTGTATGTGAATATCAAAATGCTGAGAGGAGGGAACCAGCAGTTAGCGTAATGGCTATGTTGCTGGACTCCCACGAAGTCGACCGTGGTTTGCGTCCCGGACCTGGTGGCTTAAAACTCACGCCGGGCGCGTGTGCGTACATGCCCAAGATCCCGAGAGAATGGAGGAGAAGGGATTGCGGCGTGACCATCCCCCCTGGGGGGTGATTTCTCGTGTTCTGTCTCTATGTCTCTTTCTGTCTGTCTGGCGAGCGCATGCACCCTACAGCGAAAACCTCTTAAAAAATAAAATAAAAATGCTGAGAGGAGACTGGAGGAGAAGGGATTGTGGCATGGCCATCCCCCCAGGGGGGAGTGAGTTCTCACTTTCTCTATCCTCCTGGTGAGCACACACTCTGTAGCAAAAATCACTCAAAAGTTAAAAAATTTTTTTAAAAAAGGAAAAATAAGGGAGAGGATGAAGGCGCTGGGATGTGGCAGAGCTTGGGAGAGGCCTATCCTAACCCAAGCCAGCTCAAAGAAGGACAGGAAGAGTCCTCTTTGCAAGAAGCACCGCTCAGCTGAACACCATCTTGGCCAGTGGCCCAATGCTCCTCGCAGGGGGTGACTCCAGGGCACTCTGGGCAGCTGAGAACATGGTGGAGGTGCAGATAACAAAACAGGGGTCTGAGCTGTGGCTCTGGGTTCAAATTCTAGAAGCAGACAGGAATATATGCCTGAAGCCTTAATTTATTACCTATAAAACAAAAAGATAAAAACATCCACTTTGCCAGTGGTCATGAGGCTTAGGTAACACAGGCGGAAGGTTCTATGGAAGGATGCTCAGGAAGAAGAGTTGGGAAGAGGAAAGGATGACGCAGGCTGAGCAAACACAGGCCAGTTCCCAAAGTTCTGGGCCTCTTCCCCAGGATCACCCCACAGACCTGCATCCCTCGTGTCCACGATGAAGTCGGACATCTCGAACGTCCGGCCTTCCGACAGGCCTCGGCCATAGACTTTGGCCCGGCGGGCATCACCAATCTCAGACTGGACCACCATGATGGACACGGGGCTGTTGGCCACATGGTTGCCATTTTTCTTGATGCTGACCAGGTGCTCGCCCACCTCTCGGGGGATGAAGGAGATGCCTAGACAGGAGCAAAGACCAGGATTTGAACAACTGTGGGGATGGAGGCACGGACATGAGAGGAAGGCGCACTCCCAAGGATAGAGATATGACTTCCCTCTCCACTGTCCAGCAACCCCGAGCGCCCAAGAGTGTCAATGTCACCATGCAAAAATGCACTTGGACATTTATAACATGAGTGACGCAGGGAGTTTGTCACCGCCATCTCCAGTATGCCACCAGTTTCCCAAGGAAGGACCACAGGAGTCCCGTCTTCCACCCAGGAGGTCTTGGGTCCAGCCAGGAGAACAGCCCGGACTCACCAATGTGGTTGTTGGGCAGCCGCTTCAGGAGGCAGGGCTCGTCCCGGCCGGACGGGGCCTTGATGCTGGCCGTCAGCGTGCTGAGGTCGGTCTCGCTGATGTCCAGCAGGAAGTCGGCGGCCGAGCCCAGCTTCACCTGGGAGCACCGTCTGCTGTCATCTGGGAAAGTGCCCGCAACGTGAGTCCCCTTAGGTGTGCCGATCCCAGATCTCCACAGCTCTCACCCCATGTGCCCCTTACAGATGAACAAGCAAGAATCCGGTACCCAGGGCAGTGGGAAGGCAAGCCTCAGACAATGAGCAGACCTAACCAATGAAGAGGGACTGGACCGCATTCCTGGTCAAAGGGAAGACGAGGAGCTAGCAGAAACTAGGGACTAGAGTCCCCTGGGACCACATTTTTAAAAATCTTTGGCAGAGCTGGTAGGTGGGTGGCATGATGGTTAAAGGTGCTGAACTCCCACATGGCTGACTGCGATTCAAGTCCTGGACTAGGTGGTTTGCTTTCTCGCTTTCCCTCTCTCTCTGGTCAAATTAAAAATTAATAATAATAAATAAAATTAAATAAAATAATTCTAAAAAATTTAAAAAAAAAAAAAAACCAAAACACTTTGGTATCAGAAGGGACCTCCCAGTCCCACCACACCGATGAGCATTTCTTAGGTAAATACTGATCACACCATGCTCTGTGCAGTACTGCTTCAGAGACTGGCCTAAGCACCTGGGGAGCACGAAGCTTGCTCTGTGCATCTTCCTGATAACCTGCTAGGAGCAGGATCCAAACACAGCAAGCAGAATAGAGGCCTACAGCACAGGCTTTGGCAACTGGCCTTGAATTCTAGAATATCCACCTGCAAACATGGCTAAGCCTCATTTTCCCACCTGCAAAATGGAGAACAGCCCCCCCCCACCACCACCACCATGTAGCCTAGTAATTAAGACAGCCGGAATCCCCATGCCAACCATGGTGTGAAGCCTGGCCCTGGAGTGTTGAAACACATGCTGGGAACATGTGTATGTACGTGCACAATCCCAAAGGGATGTAGAAATGGAAGAGAAGGGGTTACGGCATGACCACGCCCCACTGGGGGGTGCTTTCTCCTTTTCTTTTTCACTGTCTTTAGGGAGAACACGTACCCTCTGGCAATTAAAAAAAAAAAAAAAGGGCAGAAAATCTATTTAGAAGTGTCGCCAAGGGCCTTTGTGATTGCTGGTATACTCACGCAATCAAATTCTTTGAGGGCCTCAGTTCAAGAGATTGCCCTTCTGGCTTATTACCTGGTGATGATGGCATGTACAGTATTCTCAACTGGATTGGTCTGAGCAGTATTTCATCATGCTGGGTAAAGTATTTTTACAAGCAAAATGAGAAACAGTGATTGACTGTTTAAAAAATAATTAGAATAATAATAATAATGATTGGGAAAAACATTGAAAAGATATTGAAGGATGAAGTGGGGAGATTAATGTCTCTGTACTGACTGACATGCATGACATTCCCCCCTCCCCTTTTTTTTTTTTTGAGAGGTTTTTCCCATAGGGCGCGTGCGCTTGCCAGACAGACAGAGAGAAAGAAAGCAAGAAATCACCCCCCAGGGGGGTGGCTACGCCGCAATCCCTTTTCCTACATTCTCCTCTCGGGATCTTGGGTATGCACACACACACACCCGGCATGAGTTTTAAGCCACCAGGTCCAGGACTCGAACCACAATCGATCGACTACATGGGAGACAAGTGACATAGCCATTACGCTAACTGCTGGTCCCTGCATTCCATTTTGAAAAAGCAATGTAATACATTGTAAAGTTATATGCAATCCAATGTAATATAAACAAGATTATGATGATAATAAAAAAATTAATTTAAAAAAGAGAGAGATTACCCTTTGCATGCTAGAACTATGTGGCACAACATGAGCGCCCTCCAAACAGGAGCTCTTGCCTTTTCCTGAATTAGCAGCTAATGGAGGAATTTAGCAGCCTGAAATTAAGACTTGCAGCCTGGTTCCTCTGTGAATCTCTGAAACCTAAACTCACAGACACCTAGCCTGTTGCCGCTGGTTTGAGGAGGAATGTGGCTACTGGGGCAGCTGTACCCCACTAGAGAAAGCCCAGAGCAAGCCACAGCTCTACCTGTGATCTTGGCCGTGAAGGGGCTGCCAGGGATGTGCTTGTCGTTGTACTTGACCAGAATGCTGTAGTCGCCCGGCAGGGTGGGCAGGTAGGTCACTGTGCAAGTCCCGTCTTTGTTGTCAATGCAGCTGATTTCTGCCTTGGAGGGCCCCTCGATAGCCAAGTCCAGACCACCTGCAAATGTAGCAGGAAGCAGGTGGTTAGGGAAA